ATGCCATCGAATAAGGGTCGAGCACAATGCGTAAGTCTCGCATGGAGCCAATCCAGTTGAAGGTCACCAAGGGAAAGTAATCTGGCGGACAACAAGGAAGGAAACAGTGAGTCTCTACCTTGGATAGAAAAGGTTAGGGCAGTCGTACCTCGGGACACGAGGTGGGACCCAGATACTCCACTAAGGAGACACAGGAGTCGGTTATACGAGAAGGACATTCGTAACTTCTTATCTTAAACAAACTAGACATATAATACTGATTTGCGCACCAGAGTCATGAACAATTGTACGGGCGCATTATAAACAGTTGCTTGCACTATAGGGCCTATGGTTGCATGGACGTTATGTGAAACAAAAAGGTGGATTTTCATAGAAAAGACTTGTTTACTCCATCCCAAAACAATCTGTGTCAGAGACATGTGTAGCAACAACCTCCAGCAGGGTTGTCATTCTAGAGACTGCTAAGGCTTCAAAGGAGTTGTGAACGGGAGATGGTGTACCTCATTATCACCTACTGTCACCATGGGGCGGTTTTGACTGGGGCGCTCGAATTCCCCCGACTGGAGAACGAGCCTGGTTCTGGTTAGTTTGATAATTGATAGAATGAGCCTGGTTCTGGGTAGGTTGATAACCACGAGATCTGTTTACTGATGGGTTCTGCGGTTGAAACGACCCGGAAAGATCTGGGAGTATGAGGTATATAGGAGAGCATTCACTCAAGGATGTGTTCATGTCCATGTATTCTATGATAATTACAGTAGGGAAGATCTGGAGTACTCATCATCGTACGACGTATCTTTTAGGGTTACTATCAGGTCAATTAAATTGAATATGGCCCAACGGAAACCACAGTTGTATCATTCGCCGACTATGTTACTGAATGTACTATGAATACTACGAGGTGTATACGACTCTGTACACTGGTTCTTGATGATCTCTGAGATGGTTTGACGACTACGATTTGACTCTGTGGGCCGAAACAACGAGGAGGTGCAGACTGAGCAGTATATGTGACATTACTTTTAATACAAGGGAAAGTACCCGGGGGGCACAAGGAACGTACATGATTTAAGGCTGTAGTGGTTCCATCTGGTTTACAGTTGGAGGATCAGCCTCATAAAGCACACACAGAAGAGCAGGCGGCATTAGTTCTTAATTGTTTTTTTTTTTTTTTTTTTTTTTTTTTTTTTTTTTTTTTTTTTTACTCCAAAGCTGCTATTTTAGCAATTGATTCTGTTAAATGGTATAGCTCTTCAGAGAGAAAAGATGATGATTGGACAGCATTGATAAATGATGATAAAAGTTAAGCTAATCTAACACAAATGCACTTCAACGATTCAGTACTCATGGGTGTAGCATTCACTAGTTCCCGAAAGAACGACATATGGATCAGCTGTTTTAACTGGACAGGAAAGACGAATCAGTTCCTCATATTGTGACCACCTAGTAAGATTCCTGAAGTCTCGCATATCCAGGAGATCATCAACGTGAACAGCTGCAGGAGATCGCTAAAAGAGCTTCTTTAGCAGGTCTGATAAGGCTTTCCTCTGAAGGAGGACCTTCAGCTAGGGCATAGCACGAGAAACGGAATGGCTGATCAAACCATGCTATCAAGACTATGTACATGGCCATTGAATAAAGGTAACGCATCAAGGGAATCTCGAGTATAACTATAATATCTCGGTGCTGAGTCGGTCTGTCAGTCGGTAAGGAACTGTGAGGACTGATGACAGGACCTGCTGTGTAGGCCTGAGAGGTCTGAGTGTCGACATTCACGAAAGTATCACTTGACGGTATGTGAGACCCTAATGGCAAAGTACACGAGAACAAATAAAGCAAAAATAATGGAACAATAAAAAATGATATAAATTCTAGAGTTTGGAAATGAAAGATAGAAACTAATTCTGCAGAATAATACCTAAATACACTGCAAGAGGAATGAAACTCCCATTTAAAGGACTACTGACCAAAATAAAAAAATTTACATTGAAATTTACAAGTAAAAAATTTACTGGAGACTGAATTAAATTCAAAATGAGCTGTCTTTTCTCTTGCTATAAAGAAATTATTTAATTAAATTTTATATCAATGTGAAAGTGTAAAGTAAAAATTATTAAATTGTTAACTGGGAATTAAGTAATTTCTAAGTTGCATAAGACAAAATTAATATATCATTTACAAAATATCATAAAAGGAAAATAATTCACTGCAGAACTAGTTCAAACCCAAAAAAAAAAATATTTTTTTTTTAAATATTTTTCCCACTTCTGAACAAGGTGCAACAAAAATAAGGTATAGAAAATAATCATGCTGTATAAAGTGTCATGGGAAAACTCAGGTAAAAATAATGAATTAAATATGAAATCAAAAAATAAATGATTGAACACTTTAACTCTTAATTGTAAATTAGGACAAAAACAATTTACTCAAACAGAGTAAGGGAAAACACTTTACGCCTAAAGTAATGAAATTGCATTCAAGAGTGTAATTTGTTCAAGAATATAAAATATTAAAATAAAACACAGAACAAATAGGGAATATAAACACTTACAGTGCGGAGCCACCCAACAAGTATTTAATTGATTTTACAACAAATTCTGCTGTGGACTGGATACAACAAAAACTTGCTGTGTCTGATACAACAAAAATCTTGCTGTGACTGATACGACAAAAATTTGCTGGCAAAAATAATGGTACACTCTCTGCGAAAAATTAGAGGAATGAGACACTGACTGGCATACGAAAAAAAATGACCACACAGAAATAAATGGAAAATTTGTATATCTGGGGTGGAATATCACTGCCATGAAATACAATGAACAAGACATATAAAAAAAAATTGATCAGTTCACACAGGGTGAACTGACTGGTACACTACACAATAATACTTACGACAGACGAATTGCTAAGAAAAAACTCAGGATAAAATAATATAAGTTAAGTGAAAACACTGAAAACATATTGGAAAAAATACTGAGTTAAAGAATTATGCGTGTTACAAGAAAAACACCCCCCCCCCCCCCTCAAGGTTTAGAGTACACAAGCAAATTTACTATAACTGCTCACACAGCAATGCCAAGAAAATGTCTCAAGAAAATTATCACTGGAAGTCGAGAGTAGGAGTCGGGCTGGTGATGGGTGACGGGGATGAAGATGGTATGGTGTCCCGCGCAGGGGTATGACGCCTCCTATATCACTGTTGTCGGAAGAAATGTGCGTTCTAGGCGCAACTCACATAACTGGTTTTATCTCGTTGGCACAGCTACAATCTCCTTGACCAAGTATGTGAAGCCAAAAACAGTACTAGGACCGGTACAAGGGTGCAAACAACCACAAGTTGATGATGTGGATGGCTGGTGGTGGTGGGGAGAGTGGTGGGTATGGAGCTCTCGCTGGGGTTACTGCCGCGCACCGGGGGTGGGAGAGAAGAGTGGTGCGGGGGGGTCGCTGGGGTCTGCGCGCACCCACTCACCCACGAAGATGGCTAACAACCCACTCTATGCCACAGGAATGGTTAAAATAAAACCACTCCTTAGCATCCACCAGGGAGCACAGCGATATAGACATACCTCAAGGAGCTTAGGCTTACTTCTTACGCTGGCTTACTTCTCTCTCTCAGCTGGGTATTAGAAGCTGGCGTTGGCTGACTGGCTTACCCACGAGAATGGGAAGACTGGAAGACGAGTAACGATGCACAAAGCACGGGGAGCAGTTGCGTGACAGGAGACAGGCTGGATGATAGGCTCTGACTGGCGTTCACTTCCACAGTTCTGGCTTACTGACTGGCTTAATGCTAAATCCGGAAGGTCAAACCCCTCGGAAGATTGGAAAGCAATTAGCACACAAACTAAGCCAGGAAGTTGATTGAAACGCTCCTGCAACAGGCTTGCAGGCAGTAGGTTTTTGAGGGGAGTAGGCTTGCTGGATGGAGGGTGTGAGGGGAGGGCCATTCACCTTTGACCTGCCGGCACTCACAACTGTCTTCAATCGCCTTTGAATTACCCTTAAAAACGTTAAATCCACGCTCCACACTCGCTGTACACCATTTATCATGTGGGAGATTCGATACGTGGATTAGGGTAGAAATACTCACGATAATTACTGTTATGTTGGAGGAATGCCCGCAGCGTACCTATCTCCTTGCTTCCCTCTCGTAACACTGACTAGCCGTCTGGCCAGTCCCATAGTTGGGGTCTTTTGAATTAGTGTCAAGCTCGCACAAAGGACCGTGACTCAAGACGGTTGCCCTCGTTGAGTCAGGGGGACAGGTTACTGGTTAACTGGTACTACTATACTGCGACTGGTAACTGGTTATACTGAGACAGGGGTCCCGAGACTGTTCAACTGCCTCCCAGCACACATAAGGGGGATTACCAACAGACCCCTGGCAGTCTTCAAACTGGCACTGGACAAGCACCTAAAGTCAGTTCCTGATCAGCCGGGCTGTGGCTCGTACGTTGGTTTGCGTGCAGCCAGCAGCAACAGCCTGGTTGATCAGGCGCTGATCCACCAGGAGGCCTGGTCACAGACCGGGCCGCAGGGGCGTTGACCCCCGAAACTCTCTCCAGGTAAACTCCAGGTAAACATCTGCTGTTTCCCACCAAGGCAGGGTGGCCCGAAAAAGAAAAACTTTCATCATCATTCACTCCATCACTGTCTTGCCAGTTATAAGACTGCAACATTAACACCCCTCCTTCAGAGTGCAGACACTGTGCTTCCTATCTCCATGACTCGAGTCCAGCCTTCCAGTTTCCCTGAATCCCTTCATAAATGTCACCTTGTTTACACTCCAACAGCACGTCAAGTACTAAAAACCATTTGTCTCCATTTGCTCCTGTCTAACGCTCATGCGTGCTTCCTGGAAGTCCAAGCCTCTCGCACACCAAACCTCCTTTATCCCCTTCCTCCAACTTTTCCTAGGCTGACCCCTACCCCGCCTTCCCTCCACTACAGATCTGTACTTATGTGTACATGTGCCTAATTAAACTTACGTCTTACAGATCCTTTGGAAACCAAGCTGCAAGACTGGAAGGTGTTCTTCTTTCTTCATATGGACCATGTGGGAAGGTCACAATATCTTCCTGTAACTGTGCAGTTGGCACCATTCAAGGATGTATCTTACAATATTTCACTTGTCCATTGTGTGAATAATGACCACCATTGCTTGGAGTCAACTACACTTACTAATATCCTAATTAGTGACCCTCAAAAGTAAGGTTTCATTTCTCTTGATATTATTTTTTTGTGAAGCTTGGTGTGTTGAGAATATCATAGTATTAAAATCTGTATTATATTTTTTAATACACATATAACGGTGTGCTGTAGCTCAGTTGGTAGCCCACTCAGCTCACACATTAAGGTCCATGGTTCAATCCCCGGTACGAGTGGAAATATTGGATGTGTTTCCTTGAGACACCTGCTGTCCATGTTCACCAAGCAGTAAGTAGGTACCTGGGTGTTAGTCAGCTGGTGTGGGTGGCATCCTGGGGAACGAAATTTACCTAAGTTGTCTGAATGCTTCTGCATAAAACAGGAGGCTTTTATATCAGTACAGTGGACCCCGCCCTTAACGATTACCTCCTGAATGCCGACCAATTATGTTAGTTGTATTTATGTAAGTGGCGTTTGTACGTGTGTGGTTTGGGGGTCTGAATGGACTAATTCTAATCACAATATTCTTATGGGGAATAAATTCGGTCAGTCAGTACTGGCACCACTGATACATAATTATGGATGTGAAAAAATATCGTTAAACCGGGGCGGTCCTCTGTATGATCTAGCAACCAGCTATGATCTGTTTAAGTTGCATCATGTAACTTGTAGAAATAAGATTATATTATTAGAATTACAGTGGCATTATTATATGCTTATACAGACTTTCCTCAATCTTAACATTAGAGTTCCGTTCCTAAACCACATTGTTGATGAATTCACCGCTAAGTGCAGGGGCATTCTACAATGGTGGTGGGTTTGGTGACAACCATCTTGATATTGTTTTAATGTCACTTTTGCACCAATTTATAACATTTGCTTATATATTTTTAATGTTTATACAGCATTGTACTCTATTTTGCTAAACAAATGGAAAATAGAGGAAATCAGTTAATATCAGCATTTAGGTATGCAAAACTGGTCAGAGAGAACGTCATAAGTCCGTCGCGTCATCGGTAAACAAGTCGTACCTTGCTTAGTGAGGAGGAGGGCATGTGCTATATAAGGACATTCAAAGGGTATACAAACAGCAAATTTTGGCATTACAAATAGAACAAACAAGCCAAAAACAACTCTTTCTTTACAAGTGATTTATGACAAGAAGTAATGAAATTAAAATATATAGTTAACATATTTGTGGTTGAAAGAATTATTTAGGATATTGCAGGGTGATCATTGGGACTTGGTGCATGATACCATAAACTGAATACAGTGGTACTCGAGTTTTGAAACAGCTCCCAACTCGAACAATTATGTAAGTGTATTTTTGTAAGTGCTTCTGCAAGTGTATTTTTGGGGGTCTGAAACAGACTAATCTAATTTACATTATTCCTTATGGGAACAAATTCGGTCAGTATCGGCACTCGAACAGCCTTCTGGAACAAATTAACTCGAGGGGTACCACTGTACATAGATTTAATAAAAAATGTGCTGAGTGGGTTTTTCATGTTGGCATCACACTGCTAAAATAAGTGGTCTGAGAATTAAAGAATTTTTTTTTTTTCCCAACAAGTCGGCTGTCTCCCACCGAGGCAGGTAATCCAAAAAGAAAGAAAATCCCCATAAAGAAAATACTTTCATCATCATTCAACACTTTCCCTCACTCACACATAATCACTGTCTTTGCAGAGGTGCCCAGATACGACGGTTTAGAAGCATATATAAAGATTTTTTTTTTTTTTCAACAAGCGGCCGTTCTCCCACCAGGCAGGGTCGACCCAAAAAAAAGAAAAAAATCCCCAAAAAGATAAATACTTTCATCATCATTTCAACACTTTCACCAACACTCGCTCATTAATCACGGTTTTTGCAGGGTGCTCAGGAATACTACAGTCTAGTGCATACACCATATAAAGATTACACAAACATATCCCTCCAAACTGCCCAATATCCCAAACACTCCTTTAAAGTGCAGGTCATTTACTCCCATTTCCAGGACTGTCAGTACGACTATATGAAAAATAACGGTTTCCTGAAATCCCTTCACTATAATATTACCCTCGCTCACACTCCAACTGACGTAGGTCCAAGTACCATTCGTTCCATTCACTCCTTCTAACACGCTCACGCACGCTTGCTGAAAAGTCAAGCCCCTTGCCCACAAAAACCTCCTTTACCCCCTTCTCCAACCCTTTCGAGGACTGACCCCTACCCCGGCCTTCCTTCCTTATGATTTATATGCTTTCCATGTCATTCTACTTTGATCCATTCTCTCTAAATGTGGACCCAAACCACCTCAACAACCCCATCTTCTGTCCTCTGACTAATACTTTTATTAACTCCATCACCTTCTCCTAATTTCCACCACTTCCAGAATTTTTGCAATATATTTAACCACACATTGCCCTTAAACAGGACATCTCCACTGCCTCCAACCGTTCTCCTCGCTGACTGCAATTTACCACCAAGCTTCCACCCCCTATAAGAGTGATCGGTACTACTATACTTTCATTACATTCCCCTTCTTTGCCTCCATAGATACGTTTTTTGACCTCCACATATACCTCAACGCACCACTCACCTCTTTTTACCCTTAATCAATTCTTGATTAACCTCATCCCTTCATAAATCCATTCCGCCGACATCTGTCAACTCCCAAGTTTCAGAAAACATTCACTTACTTCCATACTCCATCCTCCCCAATTGTATCCAATTTTTCTTTATCTAAATCATTTGACACCTCATCACCTTACTCTTTTCTAGGTTCCACTTTCACACTTTCTACTTTACACACATTTCACAAACTCATCCACTAACCTTTGCATTTTTTCTTTAGATCTTTCCCATAAGAACAGTATCATCAGCAAAAAGTAATGTGTCAATTCCCATTGTTTTGAATTTTGATTCCCCATAATTTAATCCACCCCTCTCCAACACCCAGCATTTTCTTCTTTACAACCCCATCTATGAAATTATTAAACAACCATGGTGACATTACACTACCTGTCTAAGACATCTACTTTACGGGATGTTGTCTCCCTATCTTCTAACACCTATACCTGCAGCCTCACTATCCCCTTATAATTAAACTCTTTACAGCATTAATAACTTACCACCATATTCCTTATACTTGCAACATCTGCGCAATTGCTTCCTCTATCCACTCTATCATATGCTTTTCTTAAATCCATAAATGCAATATGAAATTCCCTATCTTTATCTAAATACTGTTCACATATATGCTACAATGTAAACAACTGATCTACACAATCCCCTACCCACTCTGAAACCCTCCTTGCTCAGCCGACAAATCTACATTACTGTCTTACTCTAATTCTTTCACAATTATAACCCTACCGTACACTTTCCTGGTATACCAGTAAGCGTTATTCATCTTTAATTTTTCAGTCTCTTTTAGTCCCCTTTCCCTTTATATAAAGGGACTATAATTGACTCTCCGCCAATCCCTAGGTTACCTTACCTCTTTCATAACATTTTTATACATATGTACCAACCACTCCAAACATCAATATCCTACCACCATGCTTTTAACTGTCTGTCAGGATCCATCAGGTTTCCAGCTGCTTATATATATATATTATATATATACTATATATATATATATTTACAGTGGTCCCCCGATAACGATGGCATCACATAGCGATTTTTTTTTCCGCATAACGATTACTTTTATCGCAAAATCTTTTGAAGCGAATTACCGAATTTAAAACCCGCCATACGATTTGAGTCGAGACGCTGTCCAATGTGCCTCAGGCCAGCCTACATGTGCTGCCCCCCGTCCCATTTGTTTACCAAGCAGCCTCCGCTGCGTAACATCCAGCATACACTTTGGATAAGAATATTCTCGTATTATACAGTATTTTCGGTGCTGTTCTGGAAAATTAATGTGACCATGGGACCCCAAGAAAAGCTTCTAGTGCCAACCCTGCACCTCAAAGGGTAAGAAAAATTACTATAGGATGAAGAAAGAGATAATTGATAAGTATGAAAGTGGAGTCTGAGTGGTATAGATCCGACCTAGTCAAGCTGTACAAGCAAACCCAGATCAACCATCGCTACTATTGTGGGCTCCAGAAAGACAATCAAGGAAGCTTGTCTTGCCAAAGTTCGCAACTGTGTTTTCGAATACAAAGATCGCAAGTGATGGAAGATTGTTGAGAGGTCTCTTATTGAGTGTGGATAAATGAAAAACAGATAGCAGGAGATCGCGTCTCTCAAGCGATCATATGTGAATAGGCATTAGGAAGTTTGCATGAGGATTTAATTAAAAAAATGCCTGCAACTAGTGATGATGTGATTGAATTTTTAAGGCAAGCAAAGGTTGGTTTGAGAGATTTAAGAAAGCGTCTAGTGGCACCATAGTGTGTTAAGCATATGGTTGAGGGGCTGCCAGTTCGGACCACAAAGCGGCCCTGAAAAAGATGTGCAGGTAATACAAGGAGTACAGAAACTGAAGGACTGAAAAACTGAACAAGTGTTTAATTGTGATGTGAAATCAGGCCTGTTCTGGAAGAAAATGCCAGTGGACCTACATTACTCAGGAGGAGGAAAAGGCCCACTCCCAGGACATAAGCCTATTGAAAGAAGGACTTACCTTTGTTGATGTGTGCCAAATGCTACTGGGATTGCAAAGTGAAGCCTTTATTAGTGTATCACTCTGAAACTCCCAGAGCAGTCAGGCAAAAGAATGTCCTCAAGGATTTATTTGTGTTTTGGTTTGCTGTGGGAGGGCAAACAGTAAGGGCATGGGTCACAGGGAATCTTTTCTATAACTGGTTACACATGCATTTGCCCCCAATGTGATAAAAAATTACACTAACTGAAAGAAATTAGAACTTAAGGCCTCCTGGTGTTAACAATGCCCCTGGTCATCCTACAGACGTGAGCACCAGAGCAGATTTATGAGGGACATGAGCTTATTAAGTTGAAGTTTTTGCCTCATAATACCACTCCTCTCCTGCAGGCCATGGACCAGCAGGTTTATTTCCAACTTCAAGAAAACTGTACACAAAAGCTTGTTTGAAAGGTGCTTTGAATGACCTCAGAAACTCATCTGACTTAAGAGAGTTTTGGAGAGATCACTTTGAATATCCTCAATTGTGTAAACTATAGGTTAAGGCTTGGGAGGAAGTGACCAACGAGGATCCTTGAAACTCTGCTTGGAAGAAACTGTGGCAAGAATGTGTAGACAAATGGGATTTTGAAGGGTTTGAGGCTAACCCTGAGAATCCTGTGCCTGTGAGGAATCCATTTGTGGCATTGGAAAGTCCTTGGGGTGGAGGTTAAGTGGGGAGGATGTGGAAGACGTTGGTGGAGGAGGACATGAAGAAACTAAACCACTGATGGTGTGATAGCGAGTCAACTTCAAAGAGCAAGAGGCCAGACTGAAGGGAAACTGGTTCAGAGGAGGGGAGAGAGTAATTGAAGAAGTTGCCTACTACCAAAGATAAAGGAAATCTGTGCTAAGTGGCTTGAAGTGCAAACCTTCAAGGATGAAAATCACCCTCACACAGCATATTGCAAGCGTTTGCTGGTGATTATTACACTGTCCAATGTGTGAAACACTTTAGGCAAGTCGATAAAGGAACGAGGGGGGGAGGTTACAGGACCTACTATGGACAGATATGTTGTGCGGAAAGAAGTCCAGTGACTCTGAAGCTGGCCTAGTGGCATTAAAGAAGAAGGGAAGTACCCCAGAAAATAGGACTTACTTACCTCCAAGTCCTAATGGAAGGGGATTCCCCTTTAAACACGACACACTCTCTCCCTCTCACCATCCCATCATCTTCACCAGTTCTCAATAAAAAGTAAGTGCTCATTTAATTGTTGCATGCCTTTTTTTCAGTTTGTGTGTATTTAAAATTAAACATTCATGTTCGGTATATAAAAAAATTTTTTTTCATACTTTTGGCGGGTCTTGCACGGATTAATTTATTTTCCATTTTATTTCTATGGGTGGGACATAGAAAATTCATTCGCATATCGATTATTTCGCTTATTCTATGATGCCCCTCTTGACGGATTAAATTCGTTAACCGGGGGTCCACTGTATATATTTATTTATATATATATATATATATATATTTTTATAATATATACTATATAAATATATATATATATATATATATATATATATATTATATATATATATATATAATATATTATAATATATAATATTATATAATATATATATATCATATATATATATATATATATATATATATATATATATATTATTATATATATATCTATATATATATATTATATATATATTTAGTATTATATATTTATTTATATATATATATACACTATATAATACTATATATATAATATATATATATATATATTTATATATTTATATATATATTATATATATATATATATATTATTAATATATATAGTATATATATATATATTTTATTTATTATCACAACGCGGCCGATTTCCCACAAAAGAGGGTGGGCCCGAAGAAAAAAAGAATATAAACTTTCACCATCATTCACTCCATCACTGTCTTGTCCAGAAGGGTTGCTTTTTTACACTTAACCCCCCCAGTTTTTAATCTGCAACATTAAAACCTCTTCAGAGTGCAGGACTGTACTTCCTATCTCCAGGGACTAAGTCCGGCCTGCCGGTTTCCCTGAATCCCTTCATAAATGTTACTTTGCTCACACTCAACTGCACGGTCAAGTATTAATATCCATTTGTTCTACATTCACTCCTATCAAACACGCTCTGAATGCTGCTGGAAGTCCAAGCCTCCTCGCATACACAAAACCTCCTTTACCCTTCCCGCCAACCCTTTCCTAGGCCGACCCCTTACCACGCCTTCTTCCACTACGACTGATACAATCTTGAAGTCATTCTGTTTCGCTCCATTCTCTCTTTACATGTCCGAACCACCTCAACAACCCTTCCTCAGCCTCGGACAACAGTTTTGGTAATCCCCGCACCTCCTCCCTAACTTATAACTACGAATTCTCTGCATTATATTCACACCACGCATTGCCCTCAGACATGACATCTCCACTGCCTCCAGCCTTCTCCTGCCTGCAACATTCATCACCCACGCTTCACCACCCTTATAAGAGCGTTGGTATAAAACTATACTCTCATACCATTCCCCTCTTTGCCTCCATGGGGACAAGTTCTTTGTCTCCACAGGACGTCCTAAGTGGCACCACTCACTCTTTTTCCCCTCATCAATTCTATGATTCACTATCCTTTATTTAGACCATCCGCTGACACGTCACTCCCAAATATCTTGATACGTTCACCTCCACCATACTATCTCCCTCCATCTGATATCAAATCCTTTCATCACCTAATCTTGTTGTTATCTCATAACCTTACTCTTTCTGTATTCCCCTTTAATTTCCTTCTTTTGCACACCCTACCAAATTCATCCACCAATCTCTGCAACTTCTCTTCAGAATCTCCCAAGAGAACTCTGTCCCATCAGCAAAGAGCAGCTGTACAACTCCCACATTTGTGTGTGATTCTTTATCTTTTAACTCCACGCCTCTTGCCAAGACCCTCGCATTTACTTCTCTTACAACCCCATCTATAAATATATAACATAACATATCCCTCCAAACTGCCAATATCCCAAACCCCTCCTTTAAAGTGCAGGCATTGTACTTCCCATTTCCAGTACTCAAGTCCAGTTGTATAAAAATAACAGGTTTCCCCTGAATCACCTTCACAAAATATTACCCTGCTCACACTTCAACAGCTCGTCAGGTCCCATAAACCATTCGTCTCCATTCACGCCTGTCTAACACACTCACACATGCTTGCTGGAAGTCCAAGCCCCTCGCCCACACAACCTCCTTTACCCCCTCCCTCCAACCTTTTCGAGGATGACCCCTACCCCGCCTTCCTTCCAAGTCATTCTACTTGACCCATTCTCTCTAAATTACCAGACCACCTCAACAACCCCTCTTCAGCCCTCTGACTGATACTTTTAGTAACTCCACACCTCCTCCTAATTGATGAATTTTTATTCTTTCTATATTAGTTGTTTAAACTATTTTGGTGTTTAACATTACTGTTTGTCTTGATATTATAGGTCAGCAGATTGTGAAGGTGATCAGTGTATAGTATATTTACTGTTATGGGCCAACCCTGGTAGATATGCTGTTACTGCACAAATTGTCTCACAAGAATGTCCTAACAATGGCTGCTTCACATCTATTTCTCCAACTTTCAGTAAGTTTATGATTGGTTTTGTTGGAATCTTGTATTTATTTCTGAATAACAAAAAAGCACAATACCATAACTGGAACAACACACAAATAACCCGCACATAGGAGAGAGAAGCTTGCGATAGCATTTCTGTCTGACTTGAACTTTGTAAATGGTCCAAGTTGGACTGAACCGTCATCATTAGCTTCGCTCTCCTATATGCGGGTTATTTGTGTGTTGTTCCAGTTATTTTTGTATTATCTCTGAAACTCTGTAGTAACAATTATAACCACTTTGTTTGCTACATTGTAGTAACATATTTTTTCACACAATAAGTGTACATTGACAATGTCTTGACTTCTTTCTTCTTTCAACACACCGGCCATATCCCACTGAGGCAGGGTTGCCCAAAAGGAAAAACAAAAGTTTCTCCTTTTACATTTAGTAATATATACAGGAGAAGGGGTTACTAGCCCCTTGCTCCCGGCATTTTAGTCGCCTCTTACAACATGCATGGCTTACGGAGGAAGAATTCTGTTCCACTTCCCCATGGAGGTAAGAGGAAATAAACAAGAACAAGAACTTGAAAGAAAATAGAAGAAAACCCAGAGGGGTGTGTATATATATGCTTGTATATATGTATATATATATGTATATATGTATATGTATGTATGTATATATATGTTGTGGAGGGTAGTAGGTAAATTTGGGGTGCAAGGGGGAAATGAAAATGGGGAGCATTTAATTGAGCTATGTGTAGAAAGAGGTTTAGTAATAAGTAATACATATTTTATGAAGAAGAGGATAAATAAATATACAAGGTATGATATAGCACGTAATGAAAGTAGTTTGTTAGATTATGTATTGGTGGATAAAAGGTTGATGGGTAGGCTCCAGGATGTACACGTTTATAGAGGGGCAACTGACATATCGGATCATTATTTAGTTGTAGCTACAGTTAGAGTAAGAGGTAGATGGGAAAAGAGGAAAATGGCAACAATAAGTAAGAGGGAGGTGAGAGTGTATAAACTAAGGGAGGAGGAAGTTTGGGTGAGATATAAGCAACTATTGGCAGAAAGGTGGGCTGGTGCAAGTATGAGCAGTGGGGGGTTGAAGAATGTTGGAATAGTTTTAAAAATGCAGTATTAGAATGTGGGGCAGAAGTTTGTGGTTATAGGAGGGTGGGGGCAGGAGGAAAGAGGAGTGATTGGTGGAATGATGAAGTAAAGGTTGTGATAAAAGAGAAAAAGTTAGCTTATGAGAGGTTTTTACAAAGCAGAAGTGTTATAAGAAGAGTAGAGTATCTGGAGAGTAAAAGAAAGGTGAAGAGAGTGGTGAGAGATTGCAAAAGGAGAGCAGATAATAGAGTGGGAGAGGCACTGTCAAGAAATTTTAATGAAAATAAGAAAAAATTTTGGAGTGAGTTAAACAAGTTAAGAAAGCCTAGCGAACAAATGGATTTGTCAGTTAAAAACAGAGTAGGGGAGTTAGTAGATGGGAAGATGGAGGTTTTGGGTAGATGGTGAGAATATTTGAGGAACTTTTAAATGTCGACGAAGAAAGGGAGGCGGTAATTTCATGCCCAGGACAGGGAGGTGTACCATCTTTTAGGAGTGAAGAAGAACAGGATGTGAGTGTGGGGGAGGTGTGTGAGGCATTACATAGAATGAAAGGGGGTAAAGCAGCTGGAACTGACAGGATCATGACAGAAATGTTAAAAGCAGGGGAGGATAGTGTGTTGGAGTGGTTGGTATTTTTGTTTAATAAATGTATGAAAGAGAGGAAGGTACCTAGAGATTGGCAGAGAGCATGTATAGTCCCTTTATATAAAAGGAAGGGGGACAAAAGAGATTGTAAATATTATAGAGGAATAAATTTACTGAGTATACCAGGAAAAGTGTACAGTAGGGTTATAATTGAAAGAATTAGAGGTAAGACAGAATGTAGGATTGCGGATGAGCAAGGAAGTTTTAGAGTGGGTAGGGGATGTGTAGATCAAGTGTTTACATTGAAGCATGTATGTGAACAGTATTTAGATAGAGGTAGGGAAGTTTTCATTGCATTTATGGATTTAGAAAAGGCATATAGGTAGTAGGTAGTATAGGTAGTAGGTTGGTAGACAGCAACCACCCAGGGAAGTACTACCGTCCTGCCAGATGACTGTGAAACAAAAACCTGTAACTGTTTTGCATGATGGTAGGATTGCTGGTTTCTTTTTCTGTCTCATAAACACGCTAAGATAACAGGGATATCTTGCTACTCCTACTTACACTTTGGTCACACTTCACAGACACGCACATGCATATATATATATACATACATCTAGGTTTTTCTCCTTTTTCTAAATAGCTCTTGTTCTTTTTTATTTCTTCTATTGTCCATGGGGAAGTGGAAAAGAATCTTTCCTCCGTAAGCCATGCGTGTCGTATGAGGCGACTAAAATGCCGGGAGCAATGGGGTAGTAACCCCTTCTCCTGTATACAATTACTAAAAAAGAGAAGAAGAAAAACTTTATAAAACTGGGTTGCTTAAATGTGCGTGGATGTAGTGCGGATGACAAGAAACAGATGATTGCTGATGTTATGAATGAAAAGAAGTTGGATGTCCTGGCCCTAAGCGAAACAAAGCTGAAGGGGGTAGGAGAGTTTCAGTGGGGGGAAATAAATGGGATTAAATCTGGAGTATCTGAGAGAGTTAGAGCAAAGGAAGGGGTAGCAGTAATGTTAAATGATCAGTTATGGAAGGAGAAAAGAGAATATGAATGTGTAAATTCAAGAATTATGTGGATTAAAGTAAAGGTTGGATGCGAGAAGTGGGTCATAATAAGCGTGTATGCACCTGGAGAAGAGAGGAATGCAGAGGAGAGAGAGAGATTTTGGGAGATGTTAAGTGAATGTATAGGAGCCTTTGAACCAAGTGAGAGAGTAATTGTGGTAGGGGACTTGAATGCTAAAGTAGGAGAAACTTTTAGAGAGGGTGTGGTAGGTAAGTTTGGGGTGCCAGGTGTAAATGATAATGGGAGCCCTTTGATTGAACTTTGTATAGAAAGGGGTTTAGTTATAGGTAATACATATTTTAAGAAAAAGAGGATAAATAAGTATACACGATATGATGTAGGGCGAAATGACAGTAGTTTGTTGGATTATGTATTGGTAGATAAAAGACTGTTGAGTAGACTTCAGGATGTACATGTTTATAGAGGGGCCACAGATATATCAGATCACTTTCTAGTTGTAGCTACACTGAGAGTAAAAGGTAGATGGGATACAAGGAGAATAGAAGCATCAGGGAAGAGAGAGGTGAAGGTTTATAAACTAAAAGAGGAGGCAGTTAGGGTAAGATATAAACAGCTATTGGAGGATAGATGGGCTAATGAGAGCATAGGCAATGGGGTCGAAGAGGTATGGGGTAGGTTTAAAAATGTAGTGTTAGAGTGTTCAGCAGAAGTTTGTGGTTACAGGAAAGTGGGTGCAGGAGGGAAGAGGAGCGATTGGTGGAATGATGATGTAAAGAGAGTAGTAAGGGAGAAAAAGTTAGCATATGAGAAGTTTTTACAAAGTAGAAGTGATGCAAGGAGGGAAGAGTATATGGAGAAAAAGAGAGAAGTTAAGAGAGTGGTGAAGCAATGTAAAAAGAGAGCAAATGAGAGAGTGGGTGAGATGTTATCAACAAATTTTGTTGAAAATAAGAAAAAGTTTTGGAGTGAGATTAACAAGTTAAGAAAGCCTAGAGAACAAATGGATTTGTCAGTTAAAAATAGGAGAGGAGAGTTATTAAATGGAGAGGTAGAGGTATTGGGAAGATGGAAGGAATATTTTGAGGAATTGTTAAATGTTGATGAAGATAGGGAAGCTGTGATTTCGTGTATAGGGCAAGGAGGAATAACATCTTGTAGGAGTGAGGAAGAGCCAGTTGTGAGTGTGGGGGAAGTTCGTGAGGCAGTAGGTAAAATGAAAGGGGGTAAGGCAGCCGGGATTGATGGGATAAAGGTAGAAATGTTAAAAGCAGGTGGGGATATAGTTTTGGAGTGGTTGGTGCAATTATTTAATAAATGTATGGAAGAGGGTAAGGTACCTAGGGATTGGCAGAGAGCATGCATAGTTCCTTTGTATAAAGGCAAAGGGATAAAAGAGAGTGCAAAAATTATAGGGGGATAAGTCTGTTGAGTGTACCTGGTAAAGTGTATGGTAGAGTTATAATTGAAAGAATTAAGAGTAAGACGGAGAATAGGATAGCAGATGAACAAGGAGGCTTTAGGAAAGGTAGGGGGTGTGTGGACCAGGTGTTTACAGTGAAACATATAAGTGAACAGTATTTAGATAAGGCTAAAGAGGTCTTTGTGGCATTTATGGATTTGGAAAAGGCGTATGACAGGGTGGATAGGGGGGCAATGTGGCAGATGTTGCAAGTGTATGGTGTAGGAGGTAGGTTACTGAAAGCAGTGAAGAGTTTTTACGAGGATAGTGAGGCTCAAGTTAGAGTATGTAGGAAAGAGGGAAATTTTTTCCCAGTAAAAGTAGGCCTTAGACAAGGATGTGTGATGTCACCGTGGTTGTTTAATATATTTATAGATGGGGTTGTAAGAGAAGTAAATGCGAGGGTCTTGGCAAGAGGCGTGGAGTTAAAAGATAAAGAATCACACACAAAGTGGGAGTTGTCACAGCTGCTCTTTGCCGATGACACTGTGCTCTTGGGAGATTCTGAAGAGAAGTTGCAGAGATTGGTGGATGAATTTGGTAGGGTGTGCAAAAGAAGAAAATTAAAGGTGAATACAGGAAAGAGTAAGGTTATGAGGATAACAAAAAGATTAGGTGATGAAAGATTGAATATCAGATTGGAGGGAGAGAGTATGGAGGAGGTGAACGTATTCAGATATTTGGGAGTGGACGTGTCAGCGGATGGGTCTATGAAAGATGAGGTGAATCATAGAATTGATGAGGGAAAAAGAGTGAGTGGTGCACTTAGGAGTCTGTGGAGACAAAGAACTTTGTCCTTGGAGGCAAAGAGGGGAATGTATGAGAGTATAGTTTTACCAACGCTCTTATATGGGTGTGAAGCGTGGGTGATGAATGTTGCAGCGAGGAGAAGGCTGGAGGCAGTGGAGATGTCATGTCTGAGGGCAATGTGTGGTGTGAATATAATGCAGAGAATTCGTAGTTTGGAAGTTAGGAGGAGGTGCGGGATTACCAAAACTGTTGTCCAGAGGGCTGAGGAAGGGTTGTTGAGGTGGTTCGGACATGTAGAGAGAATGGAGCGAAACAGAATGACTTCAAGAGTGTATCAGTCTGTAGTGGAAGGAAGGCGGGGTAGGGGTCGGCCTAGGAAGGGTTGGAGGGAGGGGGTAAAGGAGGTTTTGTGTGCGAGGGGCTTGGACTTCCAGCAGGCATGCGTGAGCGTGTTTGATAGGAGTGAATGGAGACAAATGGTTTTTAATACTTGACGTGCTGTTGGAGTGTGAGCAAAGTAACATTTATGAAGGGATTCAGGGAAACCGGCAGGCCGGACTTGAGTCCTGGAGATGGGAAGTACAGTGCCTGCACTCTGAAGGAGGGGTGTTAATGTTGCAGTTTAAAAACTGTAGTGTAAAGCACCCTTCTGGCAAGACAGTGATGGAGTGAATGATGGTGAAAGTTTTTCTTTTTCGGGCCACCCTGCCTTGGTGGGAATCGGCCGGTATGATAATAATAATAAAAAAAAATATAGGGGAGCAATGTGGCAGATGTTGCAAGTATATGGAATAGGTGGTAAGTTACTAAATGCTGTAAAGAGCATTTATGAGGATAGTGAGGCTCAGGTTAGGGTGTGTAGAAGAGAGGGAGAGTACTTCCCAGTAAAAGTAGGTCTTAGACAGGGATGTGTAATGTCACCATGGTTGATTAATATATTTATAGATGGGGTTGTAAAAGAAGTAAATGCTAGGGTGTTCGGGAGAGGGGTGGGATTAAATTATGGGGAATCAAATACAAAATGGGAAGTGACACAGTTGCTTTTTGCTGATGATACTGTGCTTATGGGAGATTCTAAAGAAAAATTGTAAAGGTTAGTGGATGAGTTTGAGAATGTGTGTAAAGGTAGAAAGTTGAAAGTGAACATAGAAAAGAGTAAGGTGATGAGGGTATCAAATGATTTAGATGAAGAAAAATTGGATATCAAATTGGGGAGGAGGAGTATGGAAGAAATGAATGTTTTCAGATACAGTGGACCCCTGGTTTACGATCACCTCCCAATGCTACCAATTATGTAAGTATATTTATGTAGGTGCGTTTGTACGTGTATGTTTGGGGGTCTGAAATGGACTAATCTAATTCACAATATTCCTTATGGGAACAGATTCGTTCAGTACTGGCACCTGAACATACTTCTGGAATGAAATAATATCGTAACCCGGGGGTCCACTGTACTTGGGAGTTAACGTGTCGGCGGATGGATTTATGAAGGATGAGGTTAATCATAGAATTGATAAGGGAAAAAAGGTGAGTGGTGCGTTGAGGTATATGTGGAGACAAAAAACATTATCTATGGAGGCAAAGAAGGGAATGTATGAAAGTATAGTAGTACCAACACTCTTATATGGGTGTGAAGCTTGGGTTGTGAATGCAGCAGCGAGGAGGCAGTGGAGATGTCCTGTCTAAGTGCAATGTGTGGTGTAAATATTATGCAGAAAATTCAGAGTGTGGAAATTAGGAGAAGGTGTGGAGTTAATAAAAGTATTAGTCAGAGGGCTGAAGAGGGGTTGTTGAGGTGGTTTGGTCATTTAGAGAGAATGGATCAAAGTAGAATGACATGGAGAGCATTTAAATCTAGGGATAGGAAGGCGGGGTAGGGGTCGTCCTCGAAAAGGTTGGAAGGAAGGGGTAAGGGAGGTTTTGTGGGCGAGGGGCTTGGACTTCCAGCAGGCGTGCGTGAACGTGTTAGATAGGAGTAAATGGAGACGAATGGTATTTGGGACCTGACGATCTGTTGGAGTGTGAGCAGGGTAATATTTAGTGAAGGGATTCAGGGAAACCGGTTATTTTCATATAGCCAGACTTGAGTCCTGGAAATGGGAAGTACAATGCCTGCACTCTAAAGGTGGGGTTCGGGATATTGACAGTTTGGAGGGATATGTTGTGTATCTTTATATGTATATGCTTCTAAGCTGTTGTGTTCTGAGCACCTCTGCAAAAACAGTGATTATGTGTGAGTGAGGTGAAAGAGTTGAATGATGATGAAAGTATTTTCTTTTTGGGGATTTTCTTTCTTTTTGGGTCACCCTGCCTCGGTGGGAGACAGCCGACTTGTTAAAAAAAAAAAGAAAAAAAAAACTTGTATGTGTAGTGTGACCTAAGTGTAAGTAGAAGTAGCAAGATATACTTGAAATCTTGCATGTTTATATGACAGATAAAAGACACCAGCAATCCTACCATCATGTAAAACAATTACAGGCTTTCGTTTTACACTCACTTGGCAGGACTGTAGTACCTCCCTTGGCGGCTGCTGTCTACCAACCTACTACCTAGGATTGTCTTGACACCTACATATATACAATACACAGGAATAACAGAGAAAAATAGTAGACAGGAGCAAGTCAGAACTAAATTTGCTCTTCAAGTAGCTGAAAAACTAATAACGTTGTATTGTTACAGGTGTAGAGCCGAGCCAAGTGGGAATCTGGATAACTGTTGCATTTGCTTTTGGTCTGATTTTTGTACTTACCTTCGCTCTCACACTTCACCGTCGCATTAGGCAGAATAAAAGTAAGTACGCCACATAAATCTGTTCGTCATAGTCCAGTACCTGGACTATGAGGAACAGTTAGTGTATCTGGCACTTGTAAGAATCCATCCAGTTTCTTCTTAACAACTTAACCTTTGTTCTGGCACTATAAGTGTAATACCATAGTTATATAAATTAGATTAATTTATAATTAATTAAATTTGAGAAGAATTTCAGCTATGACATGTCCTTGACATCTCATCTGCATCATAATGGGATGGATATAATGTTGGATGTGATCGTGAGGTGATATCTCAGCCTTGTAAGCCTTTTGCTGTTCTCTTATTTTTACAGCTCATTGATAATGTGAAAAATCATGAAAGCACTTGGAATTTCACTATTTTTTCACAGTGGTTGTTTTGCATATTTATGTGTATTGTAGTAGTAACAGGACTAAGTGTTGCATTGACCAGTAAAGAGAAGGAGTATTTAACCCTTAAACGGTCCAAACGTATATATACGTTTTTTCAACATCTGAAAATATGTAAAAAAATGTAGATCTTCTTTTTTGTTTTACGTTTAAATTCTTCTTTCTTCTTTCAACACACCGGCCGTATCCCACCGAGGCGGGGTTGCCCAAAAGGAAAAACGAAAGTTTCTCCTTTTACATATAGTAATATATACAGGAGAAGAGGTTACTAGCCCCTTGCTCCCTTACGTTTAAATACATGTAAAAAAACTTTTATCTACTTTTTTTTTGTTGGAGGGAGGGGGTAAAGGAGGTTTTGTGTGCGAGGGGCTTGGACTTTCAGCAGGCATGCGTGAGCGTGTTTGATAGGAGTGAATGGAGACAAATGGTTTTTAATACTTGACGTGCTGTTGGAGTGTGAGCAAAGTAACATTTATGAAGGGATTCAGGGAAACCGGCAGGCCGGACTTGAGTCCTGGAGATGGGAAGTACAGTGCCTGCACTCTGAAGGAGGGGTGTTAATGTTGCAGTTTAAAAACTGTAGTGTAAAGCACCCTTCTGGCAAGACAGTGATGGAGTGAATGATGGTGAAAGTTTTTCTTTTTCGGGCCACCCTGCCTTGGTGGGAATCGGCCGGTGTGATAATAATAAAAAATAATGTAAAAGAAAAGTAAATCTACTTTTGGAGCACTACGAATTTGAACGTCGATCTGTTTGGACCGTTTAAGGGTTAAACGTATGTACTAGATCAATGAACAATGAAAATCTCTGCCAAATTATCCAATTTTCCGCTAATAAATATTATCTAGCATGAACCAAGATTAACCTCCACTGCCACCAACACCACAAAAGCTTTACTCAATGAACAAATTACAAAAAGAGTAATAAAAGTTAATTTCACTTTCCAAGATGTTATATTAGTTTATTTAGTATGTGTACGGAAAAGTCCACAAATCTGCAAAACATTTCAGCTGGTAAACATCAGGAAAGTAAAACCAGACGTGACTCTAGAATGTATATTCTCATCTCGGCAATTTTATAGTTGTGCCATATGTCATGGCTGCTTCAGCTGCAATAAAGTGGCTATGTGACATAGCATAATGATTCCAGTTCCTTACATGATGGCATAAAGTCGGAAACTACAGCAGGCCTACTGGCCCATACTAGGCAAGTTCTCAAATCTAAACCCACTAACAAAAACATTCGCCCAACCCATTTTCAGTGCTACCTAAGGAATAAGCTTTGATAACCCTATTAATTAATGTGCAAGTCTTTTCTTAAATAGTGGTTTTCTTTGTCATGTATTAAATATTTCAGTATAAGAAATAATGTAGGATAAATATTTTCAACAGATCTGTTGCTTGGCTTGAAGGAGAAGCAGCCCACAGTACTGTTAATATATCTGGCTGAAAATCAACGCTGCTGGGATTTAGTCAATATGCTAGCAGTTTTCCTGAACGAAGTTTGTTATGTTTACCCATATGTCATAGACAATGATGTGGGCAGTCAGGTGAGAAATTCCTTTTTGTGTAACAATGCGCATAAAAAATTTTCTGCAATAATTGAGGTCAAGTTGATTTTTTTTATTAAAGGAATTATAATTTACTGGGAGCACAGTACTAAGCCAGAGTCTGTTTTGTCCAGAATTAATGCTAAAGCAAAGACTTTAGATTTTAGGCTTATAAAATGTTTGGAATTACTACATGTTCAAAGGAGGAAGGGGTGTTAATGTTACAGTTTTATAACGGTAGTGTAAGCTCGCCTGTTGCAAAACAGTGTTGCAGTAAATGATGATGAAATTTTTTCTTTTTCAGGCCACCCTGCTTTGGTGGGAAATGTGTTAATAAAAAAACACTTTCGTTTTTCCTCTTTAGGTCACCCTGCCTTGGTGGGAGACAGCTGGTGCATTGAAAACATATAATGTTTGGATTATGCATAAAATAATAGTATATAACACTGCACAGAACTATAGCTAGTAAACATTAATGTTATACATAAGGACATAATGGTAATTTTTTCACACTGGCTGTCTCCGACTGTGGCAGGGTGACCCGAAAAAGAAGAAAAAAAACTCTTTTTACATTTAGTAATTTATACAGGAGAACAGGTTACTAGCCCCTTATAATGCTAATTACATGTATTAAATCTAATAATGAAGCTTAAACTGTGCCAGTAACAAAGATGCCAATATTACTGTAATGATTAAATAATTTGATGAAATTTGGTTTGGGTTTAATAATAAAAGTGTTATTACATTATTGAATTTTATGAATAAAATATGTATACAATACCTTGACATTAATATGGTAGATTTATAGTTCAGGCCGGACTTGATTCCTGGAGATGGGAAGTACAGTGCCGGCACTCTGAAGGAGGGGTGTTAGTGTTGCAGTTTTATAACTAGTGTAAGTGCACCTCTGGCAAGACAGTGATGGAATGAATGATGATAGTTTTTCTTTTTTGGACCACCCTACCTTGGTGGGAAACGGCCAGTGTGTTAATAAAATAATAAAATATTTTATAGTTCATTTGGAAATGAGGGAGAGGAGGAAGGGTAAGAATATTAATGGTGTTTTCAGTTGAAATTTAAAATATGTACTAGTATATTATTAGTACTGTAATGATATAAATTTCTTGTATAAAAATCAAAGATTTTCTCTGATATAACTGATATGACTTCTTATTTAAAGATTACAGATTTAATTGGTTGATATACGTGTAATCTGAAACCAAGACAACAGTGCATAAGTGTTCGCAATAAAGCTAATAGAATCCTTGGCTTCATATCAAGAAGCATAAATAATAGGAGTCCTCAGGTTGTTCTTCAACTCTATACATCCTTGGTTAGGCCTCATTTAGATTATGCTGCACAGTTTTGGTCACCTTATTACAGAATGGATATAAATTCTCTGGAAAATGTACAAAGGAGGATGACAAAGTTGATCCCATGTATCAGAAACCTTCCCTATGAGGATAGACTAAGGGCCCTGAATCTGCACTCTCTAGAAAGACGTAGAATTAGGGGGGATATGATTGAGGTGTATAAATGGAAGACAGGAATAAATAAAGGGGATGTAAATAGTGTGCTGAAAATATCTAGCCTAGACAGGACTCGCAGCAATGGTTTTAAGTTGGAAAAATTCAGATTCAGGAAGGATATAGGGAAGTACTGGTTTGGTAATAGAGTTGTGGATGAGTGGAACAAACTCCCAAGTACCGTTATAGAGGCCAGAACGTTGTGTAGCTTTAAAAATAGGTTGGATAAATACATGAGTGGATGTGGGTGGGTGTGAGTTAGACCTGATAGCTTGTGCTACCAGGTCGGTTGCCGTGTTCCTCCCTTAAGTCAATGTGACCTGACCTGACTAGGTTGGGTGCATTGGCTTAAGCCGGTAGGAGACTTGGACCTGCCTCGCATGGCCAGTAGGCCTTCTGCAGTGTTCCTTCGTTCTTATGTTCTTATGTTCTTATATCAATCCCAGTTCCCACACAGCCAAAGATCTGTGTAAAAATTTTTTTAACACATCAGTCATCTCCCACTGAGGTAGGGTGACTCAAAAGAAGAAACACTTTCACCATCATTTACTCTATCACTGTCTTGCCAGAGATGCACCAATACCACAGTTTGGACGCCCCTGCAAACTGCGGATATCCCCACCCCTCCTTCAGAGTGTAGACACTGTGCTTCCCAGCTCCAGGGCTCAAGTCCAGCTAACCAGTTTACCCTAAATACCTTCACAAAATGTTACCTTGCTTACACTCCAACACTTCATCATATTAATTTCTTTTTTTTTTTCAACAAGTTGGCCGTCTCCCACCGAGGCAGAGTGACCAAAAAAAGAAAGAAAATCCCCAAAAGAAAATGCTTTCATCATCATTCAACACTTTCACCTCACTCACACATAATCACTGTTTTTGCAGAGGTGCTCAGAATACAACAGTTTAGAAGCATATACGTATAAAGATACACAACATATCCCTCCAAACTGCCAATATCCCAAACCCCACCTTTAAAGTGCAGGCATTGTACTTCCCATTTCCAGGACTCAAGTCTGGCTATATAAAAATAACCAGTTTCCCTGAATCCCTTCACTAAATATTACCCTGCTCATTCCCAAATACCATTCGTATCCATTCACTCCTATCTAACACACTCATGCACGCTTGCTGGAAGTCCAAGCCCCTCTCCCACAAAACCTCCTTTACCCCCTCCCTCCAACCTTTTCGAGGACGACCCCTACCTTGACTTCCTTCCTCTACAGATTTGTACGCTCTCCAAGTCATTTTACTTTGATCCATTCTCTCTAAATGACCAAACCACTTCAACAACCCCTCTTCAGCCCTCTGACTAATACTTTTATTAACTCCACACCTTCTCCTAATTTCCATACTCCAGATTTTCTGCATAATATTCACACCACACATTGTTAGCATTAAAAACTATTTTATTATTAATACACTTGAGTAATGACAGTCTTGTTAACAGGATCCCAACTTCTGGACAAGCGAACGCATGAACCAAGTTGATCGCTTGGTGTTTCTTGTGCCGGGTGACCCAGACAGTGAGAGTGTCACTCCCATCAGGGACCACTGGACATATGCTCTTAAGTACTTCACTGGACATTACTTTGCTACACACCAAGTCACAGACAAGGTTGCCACTGTCATCTTTCCCTTCAGTGCAGATGTGCCTAGTCAGGTTAGTGAAGGCTATACAGTGGACCCCCGGTTTACGATATTATTTCTTTCCAGAAGTATGTTCAGATGCCAGTATTGAACGAACTTGTTCCCATAAAGAATATTGTGAATTAGATTAGTCCATTTCAGACCCCCAAACATACACATACATACGCACTTACATAAATACACTTAAATAATTGGTCGCATTGGGAGGTGATCGTAAAGCGGCGGTCCACTGTATTACATACACAGTAATGCAGAATTTTGTATTTCTGATACTGAGAAACATTTTGCAACTGACATTGAGAAACATTTTGTAATTTTTTAACTTTGATGTGACTCAGTTTTCTGTCATGGGAAATTATATTAGAAAATGAGTTAGGGAGACAGATGAGATACACATTCAAACAGACTGCCAATAACAATTTTGAATTAATTATTGTTTGTCAGACTACTGTTCAGTAAATTAGCTGAAAATTCCCAGGAACTCTTGTCTACAATAAATTTTTTTTTTTTTACTCGCCGGCTGTCTTCCACCATGGCAGGGTGATCTAACAAGAAAAATTAATGTTTTTCTTTTTGCATGTAGTAATTTATACAGGAGAATGGGTTAGTAGCTCTTTGTGCACTCTATATATTTTGACATTATACACAGCCTAATATTTTCAGATTGCTAATGTGCAGCGCTTCAAGCTGGTGAAAGATATGGATTTACTGGTAACTTGGATACATCGTGGAACCTGGCTGGATTGTAAGTTCCTGTGGGAGCCACAGATCAAGTCACCATGCCAGAAGGAGGTCACTTACACATTGTCAGACATTACCAAGACTGTTAATAATGTTGTGATAGAAAAGCTTTATTGTATTTATAAAATGAAGAGGAACCTAAATGAAAAAAATGCAACTAATGACTTAGTTGAAAAGTTGTATGCCTCACAGACTGCTTCAACTGTACATGATAAGTGCAGTGAGAGACAAAACTCTTACACTGCAAGTGAAGTTGCTTGTGATTCAAGTGTGGAAGTGTTTGATCCAGAAGTGCCAAACATAGAGCAGTTGTCTTTGCTGGGAGAGAAAACCAATAGATCACCTGATGAGCAGTCATCAAATGAATCCTCTGATGAACCAGATGACAGTATCTTTCTCTGAATCTTCAACCTTCAAGATGTCTTCTTGCTCATGAATAATAATAATAATGATAAATTTTTATTTCAACAAGCTACAATGAAGGGCTAACGATCTAAGGAACTGGAGCAGACTTCCCTCTCTTGGCTTCCACATTATTCCTTCCCATTTCTCTGGTGCTAGGGAAGAGCTAAACCCCTATGCGTTTAGTTCTTGCCCATGAAAGTATAATAATAATGAGGGATACAAAATATATATTTTTATATTTATAAAAAAATTGTTTCTTAAAATGTGTGAATTTTTGTTACAAAAAATTATTGAAAAAGAACTGAGATTTAAATATTGTATTTTTTAAATTTGTCACATGCTGGTGAAGGGCTGTTGATCCAGGGAAATAGGTCTGCTCTCTCCTTGGCTCAAACCCAATTGTCTCCCGTTTCTTTTGCACTGTAAGATAAAAGAAGATAGATAAGATTTTGTTTGGAATTTTTAACCAAAAGTGTTAGCCACCCAGGATAACCCAAAAAAGTAATTGCGTCATCGAGGACTGTCTGTCTTGGTTCCATTGTGGTCCTTCAGTCTTGTCCCCCAGGATGCCTCCCACACCAGTCCCCTAACACCCGGGTACCTACTTACTGCTTGGTGAACAAGGACACTAGGTGTAAGGAAACATACCCAGTGTTTCTACCTAGATGGGGATTGAACCATGGACATGAGTTTATTGCTTCCTAATAATAATAATAATAACAATAAGAAGAATACAGTGGTACCTCGAGTTTCAAACAACTCCCAACTCAAACAATTATAAACTATACCACGGGTGGGGTTTGATCCCACTAGCTGGAAATTCGTCTGTAAAAACTTGCATTTGTGGTCACAGTGGTGCCTATGCTAACCTTCCTAGTGTAGAAATATACCTAGTTGGATGAATCTTATGAAGCTAGCTGGTCCAGTGGCTAACGCGACAGTCTGGAGTTTTGAGACTCTCTGACCGTGGGATCAAACCCCACCCGTGGTATGGTTTGTTTGCAATCGTGTCATTACGATTTCGTGAGTCAAACAATTATGTAAGTGTATTTTTGTAAGTGCTTTTGTAAGTGTATTTTTGGGGGTCTGAAACGGACTAATCTAATTTACATTATTCCTTATGGGAACAAATTCATTCGGTATCGGCACTCGAACAGCCTTCTGGAACAAATTAAGTTCGTAACTCGAGGTACCACTGTATTTTGCTTATTTGGACAATGGGTTAATTGGGCTTAAAAGACTATCAATTATGCAAGGCCCATTAAGGAAGTACTGTAGCTTGAAATTGGGCTCAAAGTAGCAGAGATATTACATTTTTGACAATTTTCCTGAGGACAGGCCTCCCCCTGGACTATATTTTGGCAGTTTTCTACTGGGTCTGCATCAATTCTTGGAACACCCTAAACTATGATCAATCATTCTAGTCATAGTCTATTATCTGAGTAGTAGGGTAAAACTTAGATATTTGTGAGATGATTAATTCAGAATGGAAGGTAGTGTTATATAGGAAAGTCATAAAGATGTGATTAATGAGCAGAGAAAATACTGATTTTGTGAATAGAATGTTTATATTGGACTCTTGTTTTCAAATTGGAATTTTATTAATTTTGTGTAAAATTGCTAAATTACTGAATTCTGTTGTCTATAGAGTAGTTCTCATAGTTAAATGGGCAGTTTCTTGTGTTTAGTCAATAGAACAGAAAGTATACTAGCAAAATAGCTAAGAATTTGGTCAAGTTGAACAATGGAATCGACTGAAAATAGGACTCTAAAGTGGGCAAAATCGTCAGTGCATAAATTGTGCCCAGACCACCAGCTTTACTCACACATAATTCTGTAGATTTTCCATGAAATTTTGTATTTTTGGCATCGTTACCTTTAGAAAAAGATTCTCTACCATTTCGGATTCTTTTTAACACCATCCATCTCCCACCGAGGCAGGATGACCCAAAAGAGAAGTTTTTCTTCTTTTTAGCTTTAGTAATGTATACAGAAGTGGTTACTAGCCCCCTTGCTCCTGGCATATTAGTCACCTCTAACGACACTTATGGCTTATGGAGGATGAATTCTTTTTCATTTCCCCTTGATAGTGCAATATATTTTTAACATCCCTGTTCATTTTCACATAGAGAGGGTAGATTATTTTGGTTTGATGCGTATTGACTACACATGGTAGTGAATACTGCATGTAACTTGTCTACAAGCAGCAGTTCACTCTTACCTACAGTAAACTGTAATGGCCTCTGCCTATTTAAGCCCTTTACTCAGCTATCGTAAATCATTGTCACTTAACCAGCTAGCCTCCTACTTCTGAGGAGTTGACAGCTCTCATCTCTACTTCTGGGGCCTTGACAGTTCTCATCTCTACTTCTGGGGAGTTGATGGTTCTCATCTCTACTTCTGGGGAGCTGACAGTTCTCATCTCTACTTCTGGGAAGTTGACAATTCTCATCTCTATTTCTGGGGACTTGACAGTTCTCATTTCTACTTCTGGGGAGTTGACGATTCTCATCTCTACTTCTGGGGCCTTGACAGTTCTCATCTCTACTTCTGGGGAGTTGACGGTCCTCATCTCTACTTCTGGGAAGTTGACAGTTCTCATCTCTACTTTTGGGGCCTTGACAGTTTTCATCTCTACTTCTGGGCCCTTGACAGTTCTCATCTCTACTTCTGGGAAGTTAACAGTTCTCATCTCTACTTTTGGGGCCTTGTCAATTCTCATCTGTACTTCTGGGGCCTTGACAGTTCTCATCTCTGCTTCTGGGGCCTTGATGGTTCTCATCTCTACTTCTGGGGACTTGACAGTTCTCATCTCTACTTCTGGGGACTTGACAGTTCTCATCTCTACTTCTGGGGACTTGACAGTTCTCATCTCTACTTCTGGGGCCTTGACAGTTCTCATCTCTACTTCTGGGGACTTGACAGTTCTCATCTCTACTTCTGGGGCCTTGACAGTTCTCATCTCTACTTCTGGGGACTTGACAGTTCTCATCTCTACTTCTGGGGACTTGACAGTTCTCATCTCTACTTCTGGGGACTTGACAGTTCTCTCTCTACTTCTGGGGGCTTGACAGTTTTTCACCTCTACTTCTGGGGCCTTGACAGTTCTCATCTCTACTTCTGGGGACTTGACAGTTCTCATCTCTACTTCTGGGGACTTGACAGTTCTCATCTCTACTTCTGGGGACTTGACAGTTCTCATCTCTACTTCTGGGGACTTGACAGTTTCTCATCTCTACTTCTGGGGACTTGACAGTTCTCATCTCTATTTCTGGGGACATGACAGTTCTCACATCAACATCATAGAAATTCAAAATCGTCTTCTCAGAGTCCTTTTATAGAGAAGAATGAGCACATCCTACCCTGCAGCACTGTATGATTCTTGTGGGTTTACCGTTTAATTCTAACTGTAAGAATAATAATAATAGAAGAGAGAGATCTTAAGTGAACGTGACCATTATGTTCATACATACATTCACACACTAATGTTAATATTTATATTAAGTCCATATGTTTATGTTGCAGAATTTTAGAACCCTTTCAGGTTTGGAGCTTCATTTAATTATCTGTTTGTGATGGTAGATAAGTTAGTTCTTATAGCATAGTTAGCTTACAGTTGTATATATAGCTTAGTTTTATTTAGATTATATTACATTGTTTTAAATAGAATAATTTTTTTTCTTCTGTAAACCAGTTTTAAATAGAATAATTTTTTTTCTTCTGTAAACCAGTTTTAAATAGAATAATTTTTTTTCTTCTGTAAACCAGTTTTTCTTCTTGTTAATGTTTTCTCTTCTAACACTGATGGTGGTACCTTGATACCCTGTACTATGGCTTTGATATTTCTGATACTCATACACCAAAGATTCCAATGAGGAAAATAAATTTTTGAAGATAAATAAATACAGTGGACCCCCGGTTTACGACATTATGTCATTCCAGGAGTATGTTCAGGTGCCAGTACTGAACGAATTTGTTCCCATAAGGAATATTGTGAATTAGATTAGTCCATTTCAGACCCCCAAACATACACGTACAAACGCACTTACATAAATACACTTACATAATTGGTCGCATTGGGAGGTGATCGTAAAGCGGGGGTCCACTGTATCTTCTTTCAACAAACTGGCCGTATCCCACTGAGGCAGGGTGGCCCAAAAAGAAAAAGGAAAGTTTCTCTTTTTATATTTAGTAATTTATACAGAAGGGGTTACTGTCCCCTTGCTCCCAGATAAATAAATATATGCATATGTATGTTTTTGGGACCTGATGAAGCATTTAAGTGTAAGGTAACATTTTATGAAGGGATTCAGGGAAACTGGTTAGCCAGACTTGAGTCCTGGAGGTGGGAAGTACAGTGTCTGCACTCTAAAGGAGGATTGGAGATATTTGCATTTTGGAGGATTATCTTAACTGCTGTATCTGCTTGCCTCTGGCAAGACAATGATAATGTGAATGATGGTGAAAGTTTTTCAAGTCACTCTGTCTTGGTGAAAGATGGTCGGTGCATTGAAAAAAAAATGTATATATTATACACATACACAGTAGGACTCCCATATCCACAGGGGATATGTTCCAAGGATCTGCCATGGATACCAAAACTGTGGATAATAACAGTCCTAACCTATTATAAAGTTAAATTGATAAATTATGCACAAGTGGAGAATTATCACTTTTTCACTGATGGGAATCACTTCATGGCTTCTCTTAGGCTATGAAGAACTGCCAGTACTCAACTTTTGCACTTTGGGGCCATTAGTATGCTAAATTAAGAGGTATTTTTGGGCCACAGTAAACTGTGGATAACTGAAACTGCAGATGCTGAATCAGTGGATATGGGGGTTCTACTGTATGTATGTATGTATATATATATATATATATATATATATATATATATATATATATATATATATATAATATATATTATATATTTAAAATATATATATATAAATATATATATATATATATATATATATATATATAATATATATATATATTTTATTATATATATATATACTATATATATATATATATCTATATCTATATATATATTATTATATTTATATATATATATATATAATATATATATATATATTATATATATTATCTATATATATATATATTATATATATATATATATATATTATATATATCTATATATCTATATATATATCTATATATATCATATATATATATCTATATATATATCTATATATTATAATCTATATATCTATATTATATCTATATATCATATATATATATCTATATATATATCTATATATCTATATATTTTATATACTATATATCTATCTATATTATATCTATATATTTTATCTATATATCTATATATATATCTATATATATATAATATATTTTAATATACTATATTATATATCTTTTATATAATATAATCTATATATATATCTATATATCTATATATACTAT